GCGGTGGGTTTTTGTAGTACGGGGTGGGCCACCAACAGTTTTCTTGATCACATTTCTACTTTTTTTCTTTCGAATAAATAAGAAACAATTGATAGGCATCAAGTGATCTACTGCGACCTATCAGATAATGATAGCGATGATTTGATTTGCAATAATTCGCTATGTCACGACGAGTCCTACATGTAAATAGCGAACCACTCATCGAAAATCATGAAACTATATGTACATATTATATGCTTATGTTTTGTTGGCGAGGACGTTCGTTTTATTCAAATTATTTTCGATAATGTTCATCTGCTTCACTTGAAATTATTATTAGTAGTTAGTATATAGTAGTAGTAGTAGTATAGTAGCAGCTTTGTTATTCAAAATGGAACACCTTATACCTTATTACATTTTTTTATTCTTCTAATTGAGCTATGATTTCGTTGATCAAGCTCAAGGTATACCTATACGTAGAATGTGAAAAATCGAGATTTTTTTTTGTATCGAAACTATACAATACCTATATCGATTTGTCAAAATGGCTTTCATGTGTCCCTATCCTAACATTTTATTTACTATCTACTGATGCCATTTAATTGAAACAAATACAGGGTGGATCAGATTTCAAAATTATATAAAAGGTACTAGTATGCCTACTAAAAAAATATATATATATTTGAAATAAACAAAACAAATATATCACATAAAAAAACACACTCTAATATTCAACATAATATAAAATTTAGTCCCACTGGATGTATTTAAGAATATAAACAGTGTGCATGTAACTTTCTAATGGAATCAACCCGTATATCTAACGTAACTGTTCAATTTTCAGGAGCGATAGATATATATACCAACTATGACCAAAGTGAGGTAATCTTCAGTGAAATACACTGTTCGGGTCATGGACCCACCAACATTTCCGGAAAATAATATTAGGAGGCAAGATAGGTTGAAAATCACTTCGGATTCGAAATCAGGACGTAACCCTGTACCTCGAAAACGAAGCAAGTTTAGGACACATGTTTATATGACCTTTATTCATCATATTATATCACAAGGAATCACCCCTTGAATTATTTTGGTGTTATTTAGATACACCCTGTATAGATCATTCTTCATCTCAATATAGTTATTCAACATTTTCCCCATAGCGAAGTTCAGCAAATGCCGATGGCGAGAGCACTATGTTCTTGATGTCTACCTATAATATATGTAAAACAAGAAGGCACAACTACTAGTGTTCCGTTTCGAAGTACATTTAATTGACAAATTTGACTCCAAAATAATTGGCACGCGCCAATATTCATAACGTAGTTACTGCTGCTTGGGTAACGATCGGGCGTGTTCGGTGAACACACGGGTATGATTTCGAGACTCTAGTCATAAACATGATATGAACAGGGAAAACAAACTTGAACACTACTGCAGCATCCATGTTCATTTCCCAAATAGCGCGATGTATCGAAATTTCGATAAATCGATAGTTATTGATAGTTATGGATATATCGATAGTAATCGAAAATTCGATTGTTATCCAAATATCGATAGTTATTGAAATATCGATAGTTATCGAGATATCGATATATCGATATATCGATATTTTGAAATTATATATTGTTAATCGATATATCGATATATCGATATTTTGAAATTATATATTGTTAATCGATATATCGATATATCGATATTTTGAAATTATATATTGGTAATCGATATATCGATATATAATTTTTTTCCCAGGCCTATATAGTTCATTATTACCTCGTTGGTGAAGCGGCCAGGCGGCACGTCGCGCCGATCGCCGCTGCTGTTGAACGTCCAGTGGAAGGCGGCGACGGCGGGATGAGCGTCAACGCGGCACCGCAGCGTCACCGTCTCCTGCTTGAGAGCACCGTACAGCTCCTGCAGCTCCTGCACGCAGACCGGGGCGTCTGGAAAGAAAACAGATGGGTGAGCATTTTAGGGCGGAGCAATGGTTACAGGTAAAAATTAATAGATTTTTTATTTTTGAATCGTTGTTTTTTCAATATTCGAATATAAATGTGAATTTTCAGTCGAAAATATTCAGTCCTTCAGTTTTGCTTTCAATTTTGCTTTAAATTCAGCTTTCAATTTTGAAATGGATAAACGAGAATATGCACTTTTTTTTAAATATAATCATCATTCAACTACTACGGTATTGGAAGTTGGGGCAGGCGAAAGCACAGTTGCAATATGTTGGAATACGATTAGGAACTTTCCCAATGGGCACGCAGACGTTTTTTCAACGTATTATCAACGTAGAACACGTTAGATAGACGTTTATGGTTGAGAAAAAGTTGAAATATGGTTGAAGTATTTAAAGTTCAATCTAAACGTTTTATAATCGTATCGAAAACTATATGTCCTGACGATCTGTTGAAATTATGCATTCATAAAACGTTTCTCAACGTTAGTCAGACGTTCGAAATATACGTTTCTTTAACGCGAATCTGTCACCAATACCTGACTGAGAATTGATGAAGAACGCCAATGAAACGTTTTTCAACAACGTTTCTCATCTGTTATTCGTCAACGTATATAATAAGTTGTCGTTATATCATATTCGTTATCATAGTTGAACTGATCAAGGAGAACTAACGTTTTTTGAACTCTTGGAATGAAGTTGAATCTGAACGTTTCATGAACGTTTTGACAATAATATGTCCTGACGATCTCTTGAAATTATGCATTTATGGAACGTTTCTCCGAAACAATAGTTAGACGTTCGAAATAAACATTCCTGTAACGCGGATCTGTCATCATTTTTTGACCGAGAGTGAAAGAAGAACGTGAATAAAATGTTTCTCAACGAAGTTTTTTAACAGTTTTTCGTCAAGTGTAATATAATTTGTCGTTGAACTATATTCTATATCATCCGTCATTTGAGAACGTGTGTTTTACATGGATACGAAACTACTTTCCATCGATCTGGCAAAGCCCTCACGGTGAACTAACGTTTATTCAAAACATTTATTGAACTCTTGAAATGAACGTTACGTTTTTGTAAAAGTATTCGATAACGATTGGTAAAAAGAAAGCGTGTAATATATGTTTTCTAACAACGTTAGATAATCGTCATTAGACAAGGTGTACCTATTCTTTCCGTTTACATCTCGCCGACGCTCACACCAAGAATTCAGGTACAAATACGAGTAGTCGAACAATTTTGAATAGGGATTACGTGAAGATAGGTACGCCAATAGGAAGGCAGTGGAACGGAAAGGAAATACATAAAAACATATCAGGTTAGTGAGTTATAATAATGATAATTGCAATAATTATGAAAATGATAATAAATTCATTGTGGACACAAAAATAACAGAAAGTAATCTAAAACCGAAAATTCGACGACTCAGAATTGATCTGAAGTAAACGTTGAAAAATCTTATTTCATCAACTTGTTCGATTCGTCATTTTTAAACGTCAATTACACGTTGAATAAACCTTTATTATCGACAATTATGAAACGTCGAAACATTACGTCTATGTCACATTTTTACTCAAGTTGAAAAAATGTTCTCAAAATACATTTATTCCTAGTAGGTGATTTGGTTGGAAGGAACGTTTTATCGTGCGACATTTTTTCGTTGAATTAACGTTTGAGAAATACCCCTCACGTTCGATTTCAAACCATTTAGCAACGTTTCTTCAACGTCGCTGTGCTCATTGGATTAGAAATGTTATTTATATAATAGTTCATATAATCTTAAATATGTATTCGTTATATGCTCAATTAACAATAAAATAGTTATTTGTTTAACTAGGCAGCAAAGTAGTAGATTGACTGCCGAGGCTGAATTCATAGCCGAGCGTAGCGAGGCTAGGATTTCAGCTAAGGCTGTCAATCTACTTAGCTGCCGAGTTGAACATATAATTTTTTCTCATATTGTTCATAATGATATAGGAGGATATTGTATTTGCAAATTATCACAATATTCACAATCTCTTTATTTTTCCTGTAGTGTTGAATTAAAATTAAATTCGATAGAAATCGCAGTTGTTGGAATGGTTGGTTGCTATGGAAATGTCCATAATAATTATAGTTTGACAATTCATGAAATTTCTGACAGTTGTGCGAAAAAATATCGGTATATTTAAATTATTATATAATGGACAGTGATAGCAACCTGGGAGTATACTTACTCCTCCAGAAATAAGGGAGGTGGCAAAAAATATAGAGTTGAATTTGTTGCCGGAGAAGTCTCGGATGAAATATGATGGAAATTATAAACGATTAATGGATTATTGATTTTGCTGACACATATCAATCAGCAAAGTAACCACTTTGCTGCCTAGGCAGAAAAAGTAATACTTTGCTGATTGATATGTGTCAGCAAAATTAATATTTGATGCCAATCGGAGAAAAAAACCATTTTCTGCGAGAGTTTCCTCTTATGTGTTGACGTATGATGACTTTTTGTTTATGATTATTATACTAATTCCTATTGATTCAGACTAGAGCACATCTGGTACGGTAATCGTGAAACCACAGGATTATTGGCGTTGTCTTGTCAGTTCTCAGCATTCAGCAAAGCATTGCCAAGTCCTTAGCACACATTTACATGATGTTTTGTTTTGGTGAAACGAAATATTTAACTCAGATGTATTTTTGTTTATCGTCAGGAATCTGACAACTTTTTGATAACTTGATCGAAATTGGTGTTTTGCTTCATGAGTAGAAATGGAAGATTATCTGACCAATAATAAAACGTCACCATGAATTCGACGTATCCCAGAACATGGCCAAATGGTGGCCATGAGGGCACGTTTCAAATTCACCAATTCAGAACAACGCATAGACACATTATTCACATAACGCGTGCGGAGTGTTTCAAAAATTTATTTAGGTCCCTTAAGACACAAAGTAGTAATTGAATGCCAATTATTAACTATCAGTGTACACCTATTACAATTTTCGTTGCAATTCTTGGCTGTTTTGTTCCGAAACGAAGACAACTCAGAATCCACTACCAGGAGTTGACTGTAAAATGGAGTCCACTCCCTCTCTCCATCTCTTCCTCACCCCCTACCTACCTACCACCCTCCCACCCTACCATCCTACCACCCTACCCCCTCCTACCCCCTCCTACCCCCTCCTACCCCCTCCTACCCATATAAAATATTTACTTTCATTCCACTACTTCAACAAGACGGATATATTGGTAAAGGCAGCAATAAGAGTAAGCATTTCTCTGTTAATTCTAGTCATCATTAGGTATCAGCAGGTACTTAGCAAACTCACCCAGTAGTTTGGAGATTAGGAAATGCATGAATGATGAACCAATACAGTACCATTATTATGATGCATATAGGACATCAAAAATACCAGATGTGAAAATTATTCCAATTTCTACTGTAATTGCAATACAACCACATTTCTTTATTTCTCGAAATTTCGAGAATCTCGAAAACAAAAACTGAACGTTATTAAAAAATGCTATGTTTAGGTTATAAAGCTGCACCAAAATACAGGGTATTGAATTTCCTCTATAAAAAAATTACGTCAAAATACAGAGGCTATATGCTATGAACTAAAAGCCACTTATAAAAAAAACCGCCGAGTATCAGCACAAAAATAAAGAATATTGTTCCAAAAAATGAAAATTCAACGAATCCTTGATGTTTCAATTTACCTAATCATTTATCCATACTTTTGAATTTACCTAGGTACGAAAGGTGAAAGTTTAAAATTGTTTCTTCGTTCGTGAAACAGTCGTCTCTCGACAAAAAAAAATATTATCTCAATAATAGTAGGGGTCGAAGTACTGCATAGTGAAATTCATGCAAGAATGGTGCCATAAGTCTGCCATAAGAATAACCTTCGAAGTGATATAGTAATAATCTTGGACTAACATTTTTAAAGAACATAATAGAAATGAAGTTGAATTTATGGCCCTTTCCCTTCATGGCATTTCTTCACCCTGAAAGTCCAGACTGATAATAATAATGATCATCTTTTAATTCTTGTTATAAAGAAATATAAAAAAGCATTGTACAAAACTTTAAAATTTTTGTTTGAATCTAATGAGAATATAATTATAATCATTGATCTCATTCTCATTTCTCCCTTGTGTTTCGACCTGATGGCAACACTGACCGGGCATTGTGAGTAGCGGGATGCAGGAGGGTTGTTTGTTTACTAATCTTTGGAATTTTTTTTTTATCGTTTTCATGTTATTTATGAAAGAAACAAAGCCGTAATAGAGCGAACTAATCGAATAGATATATTGCAAGTTGCAGTCTGCAGTTCGAGATCGAGAAATCTCGAAATAATTTCTCGATCTCGAAAAATCTCGAAGTGCTTTTCTCGATCACGTCTAGAAAAAAAAGTTAGTCTCGTCTCGATCTCGTCTCGAAATCGAGACGAAACGAGACGAGAAATCTCGAATTTCGAGAGTCTCGTGAAACCCTAGGAACATTCAGCTTATTCTTATCTGCAAAATCACCTTTCGGAGTATACGATGATTATTCTGGGAAAACATGTATTTGCGAATGCGCGACAATATCCTCATGGATATAATCATTTGTTTCATATTTTAGGTTCCACCTGGCATTTGTTGTTATCATACGTATATGCGGGAGAGAGAGAGAGAGATGAGGAATGAAATATATTGAACCACATTGAGGTGTGAAATTTTGAAAGATGACAATAAGACGTGATAGATTGAAATGCCAAGTGAGAAAAAAATTAGTTATGCGCATATGCTAAGTACAGCTCATTTCCCACGCAGTAGAGCAAATTCCCATTCATCTGATATCTGTCGTACGATACGACGTACGGACGAACTGACACATTTGTTTTTCACATAAGATCACACCGCCCACCATTGGACGTCATTTCGAACGCCACCTCAATTTGTACTCTTTTTTTTTTCAGCGAGTCGAAATCAGATTGTAATTGCGGTGTACAGCTTCTTGTAGCTACTGGCGTCTGGATCAGAACAAAGAGGTGAGACGGTTACGATGAGGAATGCAAATGATATATGACAGTAGAACGTGAAAGTGCAAAAAAAGTTATGACCAAAGAACTCTTCGGATAACATCATTAACGCAGCATTTCTGAAGAGTCAAATTCAACCTTTTGCGCCTCGCTTCATCGGATTCACATAACAGGTCACTGTTATATACCTATGCTTCCTGCTGAGAGCAGGGCTGCACGGATAAGACGTCAACAGGATTACAGTTATGAAGAAACCGGATATGTGATTGAAATCGACGAGTCCTCTAGTGATAACGACCAAGCATTGAAATCGTGATGCAATCTATTGAGCTTTGACGATTCAGAGATGATCGTTTACTTTGTTGGTCAGTCGAAGTCGACATTAGAGTGCTCATATTGCGATCAATCTCTCAGAATACGAGTAAACTCAGTTCGTCACATTGCTTGGACCCGTTTGTCAGTCCTTGGACGGTGAAGTTAAACCGACTCGTTCGAAGTGCAGAAGAAATCGAAAATGTTTGAAATTATTTTCAATCAACAAAAAATACTTGTCTAACATCTGGAACGTTTCTCGGAGAGTGAAAGTTTCACAGAGACAGAATGCTATCTTGGATATTCTTATTAAGGGTTTGGACATTTGCCTCTACTCGACTTACGCATATTACCAGTTGTACCAGTACCTGTGTCATTTCTGTAGCGATCTATGGTTTCCAGGAACTGATGCGTTATTGTTTTATAAAAATGTTAATAACAAGATTGATATTGTTTGGTATGTCAATGTAAAAAGTTTCATCCGAATTGTCCACACTAAATTATTATTCTCATCTTACGCTCCCAAATTTCCAACTCAATGAAGAATAATATATGATGTAAAGAATATCCAGGGTGTTTCATAATTGAATGTCAATATTCGAGGAGGCGATCCTTGAGTCCATTCTAAAAAGATAGTTTCATGTGAACGTATGACCTAAACGTCCTAACTTTTGAGATACAGGGTGGTGAAGTTCTCAAAAATTAAGAGTTTTTTATTAATATCTGTAATACCACTTCAGAGATTCTAATGAAATTTAGCATACATGTACTATGTATCAAGAGGCATCAGTTATGGTGTACCACTTTTTTTCTGACTGACTTGGTTGCCACCAGTGGCGTTCGTATGGAGTTTCACATACCTATTTTGGCAGACATTGATGGTATGCCACTGATTAATCTCGCTATTGGAATCATTCCTGAAATTTCCAATCATTCCTAAGCGAATTTGATTATTACAATTTTTTCAATCTGATGCACTGTTTTCGCCTAAAAAATAAAAAGCGCTTCACTATATGATTAAAGCAATATCGTTAATATGACAATATCACAATGCAGAGAAATCGATTTAATTTTATAGATAACATTTCAGAGATACAATTCATAGTTTATGAACTTCGTATTCGTATTTGGTATTTTGGGACTAAACTTCTCATTGTAGTAGGCTATATAAAGAATCGCCTCCTCGAATATTGACATTCAATTATGCAACACCCTGTATATTATGTGAAAATTTCAGAACTGTGATTTTAAACCAATCGAATTGTTTTTTTTTGGACATATCACCATGTATGTATTTCAGTAAAAAAAATGTTTCGCAGTGAATCAAATCGGGAATTTGTTGACCTCTTAATGACGTAATAATATTTCCACGTCCTGGAATAGTGATTTTGTAGAGATGAACAATTAAAAGGTTCAGAAACAATTGGTGCTTCAAACTGAATCTTCGATGCTGATACGCTTCAACAGAAAGATCTAATCAACTTAAGGTGGACGGACAAACTGACCTCCATCAAAAGGTCACGAAAGTTCAAAAAGGAGAATTAGGAGAAGGAAGAGTAGATTTGTGTGCAGCAGGGGTCAGCAACAAGGGCCCAGGTGGGCCTACTTGCCATTAGAGACCGCCTGTCCTTTCACTACTACCACTACTACTATGACTACTACTATAGTATGTACAGTCGTCTTCAGAGAACATGTTGCACATGGACGGTGTCAGCTCTCTTAATCACCGCTGCAATAAGAGCGCTCATACCGTCCAACCACGGCATGTTCACTGAAGACGAGTGTACCTACCTATGAAAAATTATTTAAAGAAATTATAATATTCTACCACGGAGTTGATATAGAATGAAATGATATAATATTATATGTTACATTCAAAACTAGTATTCTCATGCAACTGCAATAGGTTGAGAAATTAGGAATTTGTAAGCTATAGGAATCTAAGTTTGGTGCGACCCAGACAAAATTTTTCCATGAACTCATATAAAAGAACTGAATGAATATTTGGAAAATCATTGAAAACATTCTGAAATTATTTGATTCTCAAACACGATCTGTTGTGGAATTTTGTTATTGAAAACCATATAAGGTTGAATTATTATCCGGAAATAATTCAACCTCTAGTGGTATTTCGAGTGAAAAAACGTCTGGAATATAGAAAAATATTCAATTTTCCATTGTTGTTTCATCCGTAATCGATCCCGTGTAGAGTAATTGAGCTGAATCCACAGTACTGTCTAACTTCGATTGAGTATAAAATACCTACCAATAATCAGTTCATTCCATTTTCATCGAAGAAAATTAGTTCAAGTAGCTGATGGACGGAAAAATCGAAATGAACAAATAGCACGAAACAAAATAAAAAACAAAACAGTCACGATCAGAACTTCTGCATCTGTCGAGCATATCGCGTATTCAGACAGGGCGGCAATTGAACTAACACAACCATAAGCGTCACGCAAACGATAAAATAAAACAATGTTCTTCAATAGTACCTACTATCTATTCTAATAGCTCTTTGAGAATTATATAATCCATATGACTGCATATACAGCTATATGAGCAAATGCATTACAGTTATATCTTTCACATCAAAACTAAAAATATACCAACAACGTTCGAATGATAATGAGGGGTTGAAGCTGATGCTGAGATCTATATTACTTGGAATGTTCATTGTGATGAAGAATTATTTTTGCACCTTGAAAACAAAAAGGAATTGCAGCTGAGAATATTCCACGGAACACAGTGGCGTCATACTGAATCTAAAATGGATCTAGTTATTTGTATATGGTCCTACAAATTTTGTTGATCTTTACTGAAATAGCACGTTCGTGGAATCGTGGACATATTCTAGAGAACAAATTATATTTGATTTGACGTCTCCCAGCACTCCTTGAAGTTCGGCAGTCTGTTTTTGTATAGTCA